AAGCTGAGGCAGAAGGATCCCTTAGACGCCAGGAATTGGAGGTTGCAATGAGCTACAGTGGCATCACTGCACTCTACCCAGGGCAGTGTAGTGAAAATCTGTCTCAACAGAAAAAAAAAAGAAAAAAAAGGCAACTATATTGCCTAGTTCTATCCAGTGCTTTTCTTTCTCTCTTTTTCTTCCTCTTTCTTTCCCCCCTCTTCTCTCTCTTTCTCTCTCGTTGTTTTATTTTGTTTTGTTCTCTATTGTACACATAAGCCTTTACTCATATATTGATGAAACTGGGCTGTTTGCATGTGTAAGAGGTAGGTTTGAAAAGCTTATTAAAAGCTCCAGACACACAGATGGGGCTTCACCATAGGGTGAGCTGCCTAAGTTAATTGGTTGAAAAACTCTCAATATCAGTATCTTTGGATCTTTCCTCTTAAACTGGTCAAATTATCTAGCTTCCTAAGAGCTAGAAACCAGGCTGCCAGCATTGTGGGGGAGAAGAGAGCTGGGAGTCTTAACTCTCAGCATGGAAACTTTCATTTATCCCCTTTTTTCAGTAGGCACCTCACCCTCAGTCTTGCACGATGTCCCCCAGAGACTTGGATAATATATTTTCATTTTCTGTTAGAATGAAGGGGGTCAGACACAGTCACCAGGCTTCAAGGAGTTCAGGGTGCAGGGTGGATTTGGAGGTCTGACTGCTTCTTGAACAAATACTCAAGAGCCCTCCTGATTTGGGCTCCACCACCTATTCCTGAGCCTTTCAGAGGCCCTATGGTGTTTCTCAGCCACACTGCCAGCTTAGGATTCGGCTCTCTCACGTTGGTCAACTTGCTTACCTCTCTTCCTTCTGCATTGCAGTTTCCAAAATCTTGTTACTATTTCTTCTCTTCTGTGCTTTGTGGTATTGCCTCTTTTTAATCCCTTTATTATCATTTCAGTATATTTTCAAGAGGGATTAGAAATACATGGGTATTCAATCCACCATCTTTAACCAGAAGCCTATAGAAATGTAAGATACACTTGATGAATGTTTTACATAATTGAGACTCTTTGCAATGTATTCTATATACATTTATTCCCATTCATTACGCTTAAGGTATAATTCCATTTTAGATTTTATAAAAATATATGAAAAGCTTTGCTTTTATGCTCTGTTGTGAGTTTATAT